ACTACTGGCACAATCACTAAAACAAGACAAGCCAACTACCTTCACCTCCACTATAAAACAAGCAGACGGCACACACACACATTTAATGACAGATATTATCAAAACCTTCCATAAATTTTACACCCATCTTTACAACCTGAAGCAAACACAACCCTCCACTGTAGAAATTGCTCACTTTCTCACTCGAAGATTAAAAACTACCCTACCACCTAATGTGACGACGTACCTGGATGACGCAATCACAGAGGAAGAATTTTACCATACGGTTAAAAGCATTTCCACAGGCAAGAGCCCACGCCCAGATGGCTTCATGGGAAAATATTACAAAATGATGTCCCAGACACTAACCCAGCCATTTATCAAAGCATTTAACTCACAGAATCTCTCCTCCGTCATCCCCAAATCCGCATTAGAAGCAACCATTGCTTTAATCCCCAAGCCAGGCAACGACCCCACTAACTGTGGTAGTTACAGGCCCATCTCACTGATTAATATTGATTTAAAATTACTGAAAAAAAGTTATGGCCACCAGATTACAACCTCTTCTTCCAGGTCTCATATCCAAAGACCAATCAGGATTCGTTCCAGGTAGACATACTCCTGCAACAAAGATTTCACTTTTCTTGGGCCATCAGTTCAATTAAATATCTTGGGGTCCCCGTGGGGGGGATCGGGGGAGCCGGCAGATGGGGGGAGACGCTGCCTACGAACACGAATTTACACTAAATGTAAAGAACGGCACCAGCACATACATCACACAACAACTGCACACTCAACAGAAACGTTAGGCAACAATACATGATTAGAGGGATGGCTCAAGCACCGTTGAAATGAAGGATGGGGGGGAGGGATGGGGATGAGACACAAGAGGTCTTCATGTATAAATGCCAGGCTATATATATTTTGCGTTTCTGCACCTACCGAAGCACAAAAGGTCACTGATGGGCATACTTCCATGACCAAAAGGGTTACAATGTCAAAGCTGGACATTAAAACCTGAATCATAAAAAAAAGGGAAAAACCTGTGATAAGGAAAGAGGGACAAAAACAGGAACTTCCTAAACGCTTTGGAAAAACATGTCACAGTCTATGTCAACACTTCTTCATTACTACATTTATTTTTTAGTAGACATGTCTTTTTGACATATATTAGACCATAGTTTATTATGTTAATGTTGTATTCCTTAACAGGGTGTGTCATTTTGCTATACTCTTAACCAGTCAGTCCATGGTACACTGTATATGTATGCTCTCGGTTAGGGGCACGTTGAAACCTTTTGAGATTCAGGCTAACCCGAAGAGAACACAGACTCTGTTATGTATGTCTTTTTTTTTTCTGTATTGGCACATTTACTGCTTAATAAACTCCTATTGAATAAATATATTGGGACACACCTGACAATCAAGCTAGACCTGCTATACGAACTACATTTTCTCCCACTGACTAGGGCCATTTCAACAGATACCAAACGTTGGGACAGACCTTGCTTCAGTTGGTTCTGTAGAATTCTTAAAATGAACATCTTACCGCACGTCCTTTATCTGCTACAGACTCTCCCTATCGAACTCCCGAAAAAATTATTTGGTACACTCAGGGCGATGTTCACATCTTTCATATGGTCTAACACACACCCTAGAATAGCGTATTCAATATTAACCAGGAAATGAGAAATGGGGGGACTGAACCTACCTGAAATTGACATGTGCCATAAAGCCCTTCATATGACAAGGATATATGAATGAACCAGGGAATCCCCAGCTCAACAATGGGTTACCATAGAAGAATCATTCTTTGACATACCATTGCAGACAATACCATGGCATAAAACAAGTCAGGCTTATCTCAAAAACAAAAAAAACACCCTACCATAGCAGCAACGCTGCGAATATGGTCACACCTATCACAATCCATGGCTCTCTTGCCATACCCTTCTTCGCTATACCCCCTCACACACAACCCACTTTTCCAGGAAGGGAAATTAGGGAAAGTATACAGACTCTACCACGACCAACCTTATTTGTCACTCGGAGATATGACCAGAGAACATAACATAAAACCATTTAGTGAGTTGTTCACCATAACAACACCCACAGGCACTCAACAACTACACTACAACCAGATTATGCATTTCATTAGGAACCTAGCATTTCTACCCAAAGGAACAATTGTGTAACACCCACCCACTGAAAAACAGACTACTATCCAACATGTGGAGAGCAAAAACGGGTCACAAGATGTATTCTGAGAACAAACAGCAACTGAAATAGCCTGCCCTTTGGTGAATATCCGCTCATAACTTGAGCTGGTTTTAGCTCATCTTGTGCAATTACAGAGAAAACATATCTGAAGCATATCAGACTGGTTCCACCCATACGGGTAGTCCAGATCCGAAATGCCAGCAAGTTCCCTCTGCACAAGACGATCATTTCAGCCTTGTTGGGCATCGTCAGTGAGGCATAGCTGTTATCTCTCTAGGCACTGTGAGCAAGGGGTCCACGTCTGGATTACGTTTTAAACTTATGGAGAGCAAAAAACAGCAAAAAAAATAGTCTTGCGATCTGTTTTTTTGCTCTCCATTAGTTTAAAGGGTAATGCAGACATGGACCCCTTGCTCACGGTACCTAGAGAGATATCAGCTATACCTCACTGATGATGCCTTACAAGGCTGAAATGATCGTCTCGTGCAGAGGGAACTTGCTGGCATTTCGGATCTGGACTACCCGTATGGGGTTGCTGTGTCTCTTGTGCAGAGGGAACTTGCTGGCATTTTGGATCTGGACTACCTGTATGGGTGGAACCAGTCTGATATGCTTCAGATATGTTCTCTCTGTAATGGCACAAGATGAGCTAAATCCAGCTTGAGTTCTGAGTGGGGACCCACCGAAGGGCAAGCTATTTCAATTGCTGTCCGTTCTCAGAATACTCTTACGACCTGTTTTTTTGCTCTACTATCCAACATCCTCCTGTTCTCCCTCAGTTTGTGTCTAGGTGGGCAGAGGAACTAAACATAGACATAACATGGGAACAATGGCTGAACATTTTTATAAGGGTGCATAAGGTAACCACCTCCACCGCGGCGCAAGAAAGCAATTACAAATGCCTCACGCGCTGGCACTATACGCCCACCAAGATCCATGAGATATATCACAGAACCCAGGATGAGTGCTGGAGATGTCTCCAAATGGGGACACACATCTGGTGGCAATGCCCGATAATCTCAAAATTTTGGGAGCGTATCCACATGCTCATTCAGATAATCACAGAGACAAAAAATCCCATTATCACCAGAATATTTCCTCTTTCTGACACCTCCACCTCACCACAGGAAACATGAATCACTATTAATCTCTCAATTTATAATGGCAGCCATTTAGCTAATCCCCCTTAAGTGGAAACAGCTAAATCCACCATCCATTAGGGAATGGATACAAAGGGTAGACAGAATCAAGCAGATGGAGGAAATTACATATGCACTATCAAATATTTTTAGCACATTCACCAGAATATGGAAACCTTGGAATGCCTTTATGAAAGCAGGTACGGGGGCCTACCAAACATTATCAGTCACATGAAATGGAACACTTGAGGTAATTCGCACAGTGCCTTGACCAGCACTAAAAGGTGGCTTGACACCCACAGGTGTACAGGTGTACAGGTGTACAGTATTCCATCCACATAGTTAACGCAACGTTTTTCTGACTCTTGATTGGACAGGAAATATAGCCCCTATCATTGGGCAGACCTTTTATCCATCATCGCAAACTAAGCTGCTTATTTACCCCTCCCATGTGTCTAGTTGTCCTTTTCTCCTTTTTGTTCTTCTATTAGCAAAATATGTGTTTCAGACTGCAGCTGTTGGCAAACAAAGAAGGGGGGGAAGACCATCTTCTTCTACAGCGTGTTATCTCTAATAACAAATAAATTCTTACATGCATTAAATGTATTAATTACTTTGCAAAGTTCACTCTTGCTACAATATGGCACTTCAGAGTTAAGGAATTCGGACACCCACTAATCAGTCAAAATTCACCATTCTTCCCAAGAGCGAGCCATGTCGCGGGGTCACCTAAACCGACAACCTGTACTCTGCAAGAGCTCGGATGCTCCACAAGTGCATTATAAATAAGAATGCATGTTGTAGACTTCTGTTCCTCATGATATTATTTTATTTATTTAAATTCTTTATTTTATTTGTGCATGAAAATTCACATATAGCACACCTTGCCACAATAGCCAGAGTATGCAGAGTCGAAGGTTTACTTTAGTTAGGCAGTGGAAAAAACTTTGCACATTTTTAAATTATTAACGCTTAACATAGAGTTATATCTAGGCTGATTATTAATAAAAATAAGAAACAGGATTAGCGTAAGACAGGTTATAATGGTGATAGAGAACATTGCAGGCTAGTTGTTCAAGCTTACGTTACTATGTAATAGATATGCCAGTGATTAGCTGTATCTGGCTAAACATGCTGAATAGATCAATATAAGCTTCACATGCCAGTATCTAAGTTTCACAGGCTAGGAAGTCCAGCAGAGATTAGCTTAGGCAGGCTAAGTAGACCGATATTGCTAAAGAGACGAACAAGATGCCTCCATTGAACAGATTAGTAGATAGGGCAAAAAAAAAAAAAAAGGTCACAGGCAATATAACAAATACAAAAAGCGAATGCCATGTCAAAAAATATTGTGGCTGCAGGATTGTGGCTTGAAGGAGATATGAGTCCATAATCTGTGGCATTGTCTCATGTATTATGAGTGCAGGCCTGTGTTTAGAGTCCCGATCAGCTCACGCCTGATCTGGTCGGTACATAATAAACGAAGGATAAGGAGCTTTTCTGGCTAAAGTTATCAAAGTTAGAGGAGGTAATCAACGTATGCACCAGTCATTTCCCAGAGGCAAGCGGCATCTGTGGGGTCCCGCCATTGGCCCTTTTAGCTGATGCCCATGAGTGGGGGGTCAGTAACCCAGGAGTGCAAAAGTCTCGGGTGTCGTGGTCCTAACTGGGGCATGTAAGGTCAGTCCCACTCGCACAGCAGTTGACAGGTGTTGTCAGTCCTTTAATGTGCTGGTTGTTTCTTGCGCTGTCCGGATGTATGTGCCACCGCTGGGTCCCGGCATATCGGTGGGAACGGCTCGGATCTGTTCTCAGAGCTATTGCAGAGGTTCGGTGTGTCGGCAGTGGTGAGGATTTCTGCCTTACAGCTCTGGGTGCACCTCCGCTGTGCCTGCTGGTATTATCTCGTGAGGTGGGTGATCGTGGTGCCCCGTGATGTGAGTCTGGGCTCTGTGTTTTCCCCTTCTTGGGGGTTCCCTGCTTCCGTGGTGGATAAGGGGTCCTATGTAGGTCGACCCCTGATGCTCTCTGCCCGAGAGGGCCCCGTGTTCGGGGGGTTGTAGCTGGAGGTTCCCACACTCCTTGAGGAGGTTTCCCAAGTCTCCCCTCCGCTTGCTTTTTGTGTTTCATAGTCTCTTTATGATGTGGCCCAATTGGCTGTAAAAGTGCCAGCAGTTTGGCCTAAAATACTTAAAATATAACATCAATGCAGTCTCTCTCGTTGGTGCCTTCGCCCAGTCCAGTGTTAGGTTGCTTGTTCGTTATTGCCAGATCTCGTGCATTCGCCATCTTGGAAGCCCCAACTCCCACTTTGCTTGAAGAGATTGCGGGTGTATTCGAGGGCCGTAGAGCTAGGGGTTCTCCGTCCAGCGGGGACCGGGATATCCCCCACCGGTCCATGGGGGGTAAGTGTGGTATACTCACATTTGGCTGTCCGCGCTCGGTGGGAAAGCGGTCGCCTTTCCTCACCGCCTCCTGTGGTAGGCCTCATTTGATGTTGCGGTGCCCGGTTTCTCCGGGTGTCGTGTTTGGCGTCGTTGGATTCCGGCACGTTTCCACAGTGCCGTGGGCTGTTCCGTCAGAGGTTTGTGGTTCAGCAGCTCGATAAAACCGAAGGTGTTTTTGTCTGTTTTGCAGGAGCTCTAGCAGTGCACGTCCAGCTTGCTCGCTGGTTAGGCTCCGTCCCCCCTCGTGATATTATTTTATGTTATAGTTATATGTTCGATCCCATTTATACCATTATTTTAAAGCAGACCCATCCACAAATCTGCTAACATGTCTCATTTGAAATGTACCTCCCAACTTGCTCATACTCCCCAAAAGAAAGCTGTTCCCAATAAGCAAATGCAAACTTGCCCTAATACCACTATGCAACTGCAAGCTAGCAATTAATTGTATAATTATCTATATGACACCACAGAATATATGCTCTACCTAGGCTCTTTTATTCACCTGTTATCTGTAGTACTGTTCGCAAATGTTGCATTTAAAATGTAGCCAAAAGCATTGAGAAGACAAATGTACACACTGCTATACTACAATAAAAAATTAAAAATAAAAGAAAATTAAAAGAATTCAGACAAATTGCACTTCGTTCGAAAACCACTGCACAAGTAAAAGAGAGACTGAACCTATTACTAGTGTGGGCTTATTAATTAGAAAAGCACAGAATTAAGGGTTCTACTTAAACTGCAATTGTACTTTAGAAAGTGCATCTTTCTAATACTGGCTTTGAGTTTACATTTGCTCAAAGAACAGTCTAAATATGTATTGACACAAATTTACAAAGGCCCTGGAAACACCCCTTAGAGATTCTGACCCATTATGACATCATATGATCACTTCAAATTTCCCATTCCTCCTCTTTACAAATTGTACTTTTGGATTACAATATGGTGATTATGGAGACAATTTGGATACAGTTAGTTTATGGCCATGTTCATTGGATCAAACTAAATGATAAGCAGAAGATAGGTAGATCGAGATGAACATTGTTAGCAACACATACATTATGAAGCATGATTAAGAGCCTTATTTATACCAGGAAAACGTTTCCTGCATTAATACCCCCACACCTCTTGCATGCACCACTGACTCAAGACAACTCTGATTCATTGATTTGGCTTAATGCTAAAATCTGACCTTACAATTTCATGTTGCAGTAGAAATCACAATTTAATAGACCAGGTTTTTGATTATTCAGTTTTCTACTGTTTACCATTGATTTGCTGTCACACGGTTGGCTGATTTCATATTTGCATTAACTAACAAGTGTATGTAATAAAGTGCTTGGCCAGCTTAACATAGGGGTTATTGGAGCTGAAGCTCCAGGTCCATGACTTGCAATAGACCCAAGTTACATGAAATATTTTTTTTTTTTGCTTCTGCCCTGAAATACTTGGTGCCATGTTCATAATGTTTGTTCAAGGTGGCAGATATCTTCCTTGGCCTAGCTGAGCATCAAGGGAAATACGGTAAAAACCCTGAAGAACAAAAAATAGCCTTGGCACTGTATATACTAATCTGTATTTAATCTGTGCCCATAGTAAAATCAAGAGGGACACAAATACACCCAATGGCCATTGCATATAGAAGTGGTCTATCTCCTCTTCAGGGTCCATAGGACCTTCTGTGCCCCATTGCTGCATGACCCACAGAACACACTGTTTTCAGTTGTACTCTTTGTTTTCCCATCTAATATTTTGGGATCAGCCGGCTTGTGAATGTAGATTTTATATGCTTGAAATTTCCAGTTTATAAATGCATGTGGTGTTTGTGTTGTACATGGCTGCAAAGTCTAGCTGCAGATAGGAGTTCGTGGTACCAGCAAAACTAATTCAAATTTTCTATTTTCTATTTTCTATTTTCTATTTGGGCACTGAATATTTTTCAGCTCCAGTCCCATAAAGCCCATAATACAGCAGTCATAAATTGGCCCCTGAGTGTATATTATACATTGTTTACAGTCTCGTGATATTTATCACATCATCAGCTATATTCCTGCTAGGATTTAAACAGTATCACAACTGGATTACTCTGCATTACGTAGCTTGGCAATTAAGTTAACAACATGTTCTGTGTAGCAAGGAATGACTCCAAAATGTACACAGCTAGTTAAAAAGCTTTAGCAACTTTCTATGCATCTTTATATATCATTTTTATTTATGGTCTTCAATATAGGACATCAGTTTTAGTTAACAGATCATTAGGTTTGTATTCTGTTAAGATATTTATATCACAATCTGTTCCATTCGCAGGTGTCTATCATTCAACACATGCCTCTACATATGTGCAAATGTATCTCTGTGTTATATAGCACGTCCACTTTATGTTAATTAGTGTTGTTATCACCCTAATTTATATCAGAAACATTTTTTAGGAATATGTTCATAAACATTATAGAATAAAAACTGTCATTGGACACCCTTTCAACGTGGATTATATCAATTAAAGGACAACTGTCATCAAATTTTCTATTTTCATTTTTAAAAAAAGTTTATTGCAGTTAATTAAACCTTTTATATATATTGTGTATTGATTTTTTTTTTTTATTATTACCTTTTTCTTTTTTTTAGAAAGTTTCACTTTTTTAATCCGGCTGACCTAAGTTACCTGATGCTGCAGGTTCACCCAGAGAACATAGAGCAATTGCAGCAACAGGCAAATTTGGTTGAGCATCAGTTGGTCAGATAAGAGTAGAATCTGACCCAATATGGCTGCTCAGCTATTAGATAGTAAATTGAAATGTTCTCAAAAAAATCAGTATAGATTATTTAAAAAAGACTTTTGTTTCATTAAATGTAAAAAAACTTTTTATAATTGAGAAGAGAAAATTGGATGACAGTTGTCCTTTAAAGAGGCTCTTTCATGCCTAATATATATATATATTGTAGCAATTTGCAGAGGTCATTACAAATTCACAGGAGTTTCCACATAAGTGAGAATCCAAAGTGAATTTAAAAATTTTGGATCGAAATAGTCCAATTGGCCAACTATGCTTCCAGTTCGGCCACTTTGGCCTACAATTTAAAAATGTAAGTTTCAATTCTCACTATAGTGAATAGCCCTGTAAATGTTATCTCACATATTGTTCAAACCTGTCAGCAGAGTTTAGCATAGGAAAGACCCAAGAGCCATGCCCTTCATAAGGTATCTTATATGACCTACATTTGTAATCAAGTCAAAGAGGAAATCATGTGTGGCATTGGAACAAACAGAATGCATGTTCTAAGCTAGGGAGGAAGGGAGGCGATAAAATGAAAAAAAATATATCCAGGGAAATGATAAGCAATACAGGGAGGCTGGGACCTTGGGAGGGCTGAAATGAGGTAGGGAGGGGAGATATAGGCTTCACCTTGCAGGCACACTCCCAGCGCATCATGCAAGAGTAGAAGCTAATTATGTCCGTCACCAACACGCAGTGCATGCTGACAACAGAAATAATGTTTGCACAGAATTAACATTAGGCAATCCGGAACAGAGTTCTTTGATGCCTACATGTGCTGTTGGTGTAATAAGTCCCAGACTCAAGAGTGCACACATCTCTGTATTTGCTCAATATTTCTTGCTTCATGACCACTTCTGAAAGCAGAAGTGGTCATGGAGGTTGGAGTAACCCTTTAAGCTTCTAACATGGTCCAATGTGTTTAAAGTTCAACAAAGAATATATTAATGTGTTTAATAGCAGGTCTGTTTTAATATTTCAGAAGGTTATGCATCCTATATTTTAATGTGTGTATAATTGTGATTTTTTTTCTCCTGTGCAAGGGTTTTTTATTTTCTCCCTGCAACCTTTTCTCCCAATGAACAATTCCCCAATAAGCTCGCACGCAGGGTTTTTCCATCTTTTGTTTCAGTGGGTATAAATAGTTTTTTTCTCCTGCAGCAGTAGGGATGTATTTTAATTATGTGTTTTGTTTTTTTTACACCATAAGTGCTGGTAAGTGGAGCACGTTCGAGCCCCATATATAACAAAAATAAAACAGATCTTGAAATAAACACTGCTGAATTGCATTTTTTTTCCTTCTTCAATTCTGCTGTTATAGCTAAATTCTGCAATGTCAGGGCTGTGCACTAGACTGGATCCAGAGGCTACTGGTCCATACAATACCACAGTAGGATAGATGGAGGTTGTCACCTAAGCAAAAACATATCCCTTCAGGCTACATGCTAGGGTAGTTACCTCAAGGACTTCACCTGCTACATGATGTCACAGCGCACAGCAGGTCACTACAAGTATAATCAGAAAATATACAGTATGTCAAGACTACTTGGTTAAACAGGTAATTAGGATGAATGTACGCATAGTCAGTTAAAGAGGCAAGGATAGATACTCACAAGAATATTATCAACAACTTTCAGTAAAGTACTATGCGGAGATTGATCAAGTCAAAACAGATGTCATTCAAGGAGCAAAGTGCTAAATGTTGATAGTCTAATAGGTTACCGTGGTGATTTCTCCTTATTTAGCACTTTGCTCCATTCTAGACGTTGTTTTTACCTGGATAAATTTCCCTTGTGCTAGAGAGAATTCTTTGCAAAAGGAAACAACAAGGTTTACAGTTTAAGCTTCTTACTGGTACCGGATATAGGTCTCTAGAGATTTCACACTGGATTAGAGCAGCATAATT